GAGGGAAGGGTGGAGACTTCAGGCAGGACACCTCCTCCCTTTCTCCAAAGGCAGCAGCTCCAGCTAATTCTTGCTTTGCTTGATTCCCAAATTGGAACTGGAGCCCCGTAGCTCCCTGAGGCCGCTGGGCATGACTGACTTTGCTGAGTAGCGCCTCAGTTGTTGGGTGCGCTGCTGCCCCAGCTCCGGCTCCAGCTCCACGACAGAGCCCCTGAGTGCTCCCCCACACGCAGCTCTGCTGCAGGGCCACCGCCAATGAGAGGCCACTGGACCTCAGCCAGAGCACAGGTGCAGTTTGCACATACAGGGGGGTGGGGGTTGCTCTTGAGCACTGTGCAGGAATTGTAAATGGACTGATCAGGTTTGAGTTCCCAGTGGTGCCTTCCAAGGTTTTGAGATCATTCAGGAACCAATAAAATTCATGCTCGACAAGGATCAATCAAGTCTTAAAACTGGAAATGTAAATGAAAACACCAATTAGGTTTGAGAGACTGGTTCCCGGAAGATGACAGAAGCTGAGGTTTTAGAGGGCTCAGACTCTTCCATATCCTCTCTTGTAAAGACCTTCACAGACCTCCCAGAACTTCCAGACCTCTGAGATCTTCATAGACTTTTGAGACCTGTGCATTAGACTTCCAGCCCTGCCTCTGACATCACTTGCTGACTGGCACCATTGGCCTATGCCTGGTGTCTCTAAAAGATCTGTCTGCTGTTGGCTTAAGCCTGGCATAAGAACTATAATACTGGCGCCTGGTCTTCTGGCACTGCCGCCTACTGATGATGCTGACCAGCAATGCTGACCTGAGTCCAGCCATCTCTATGAGCTACCCACCATTTCTGACCACTTCGACACCACCTCCTGGCTCTCTTGCCTCTGTTGCTGTCTAGTCAAACATTTGGTGATGGCCAATGCAGTCTCCAGATGGTGTTGCTTGCTGCTACAGTGTTGATTCAGCAATACCACTTGTGATCACCTCCAATTGCCACTGCAAATTGGATTAGGGCCACCATTCTTTGCTGTGCCACCAGCTCCCGGTTGCTGTCAAAGGGACACTACCACCTTGCACGAGTAGCTTTTGATTTGGACTACTGGACACTACAGACACTTTCTGGGGTAGGACAGACAGCCATGTGCAGTCTTAGAGACTCTTCAAACCCTGTTGTTACACCTGAGTCACATCTTGCAGTTGTAAATGCCTGGTGAGGACCCATACACTGTGACACCCTCCCCCCTAGCGCTCCCCCCCGCCAGTTTTGTATTGTTTCAATTTCAGCCCTTTCCCTCATATTTGGCTTATGGATAACAAGTAGCTGAACTTGGGTTTGGTTTCATTTACACTAGTACAGTACTGTCTTGATTACTATAGTTTATAAGTCTTGATATCAACTATTATAAGTTCAGCAACTTTATTTTAAATTTTCAAATGGTATGATGGGTAGAGAGATGAAACTGTTATAAAGAGTACACACAAGTCTTAAATCAGACACTGACTGATGTATGAATGATGGGCTCACTTCAATTTTGTTTACCTTTTCTATATTAAAACTTACAAAACACAATACAACACAACAAAAACAAACAAACGGACATTATAAATCAGAGCTATCCTATAGGAAAGGAGGAGAGACAGGTATTGGCAGGAGGCAGGGAGCAATGTGGGGGGCTATGGTGATGACATGCGGGTGAATGGGGAGAAGTAAACATTGTTTTTAACTGGACAATAATATAACTATATATGAATTAATAAAATAAAAAATTATGTTTTTTTAAACTTCACTTGAAAAATTGGGATAAAAAAATGCTTGATATCTATACACAATGCAGTCCTCTGAGAGTGGCCCTAAGAATCAGATGGGATGTTTGATCTCTGTCTAACAGCTGAGTCTCAGTCCCTAGAGGAATGTGTATAACCTAGTGGGTAAAAAGTTAAAGATTTAACAATAATAACAAAATGAGCAAAAAATGAAGACATTTCTCTGTGCTTCCGCAAGAAGTGGAAATAACCACTTTGTGTGCACTGGTCAGTTGACACCAAATCTTTGCAGCTAAGAATGGGTCAGAGTTTACTCAGTAATCCACCTACTTGTTAACCATTTACTTGAGGAACACAAAGCATCTGCATTTCAGGCAAAAGTGTGTTGCTGGCTTCGCCATTGTCCTCCCTCAGCTGTAAATATGTCCTATTTACTATTCAACTGATTTTTGTTATAATTGGCCACATAATGTTATTAAGTAAATTCTTAATCCAGGTACTATAACCTATATACCGATATGTGAAAAATCAAAAACACAAGAAACTCACCCATGAAGTCTAAACTAGAATCCTACCAGTACGCTACACAGCCCTTTATTTAACCTGGACAACAAGTAGAAGAAGCCAAGTAGTTGGTCCTTGTCCATGTTGAGTATATTTTTTTAAAGATTAATTTATTTATGAGTACGAGAGCTGGGGTGTAGGCCAGAGGTGTGGGGGCTGAGAAGATTAATCAGACACAGAGTGGGGAGCAGAATAGGAGGATTGACTGACACACACTGAGGAGGGCGACTGGGCGAGACTGCTGTGCCCTGTGGGCCAGTTCCCAGGATGGAAGAACTGCTGCTGCAGTG